TAATAATACGACTTAAGATATACCATTTTAATGAATCAGATAATTAGAACTAATGGCCATGAAACCATCATATTATTCTTTTTAATAGATGGCGGCATACAACAAAGAGAATTTACGAATAGTTAGACGGGATGCATTGATGCATTTGGACTGACAAGTTTAAATATACAAATAATAAATAAGTCGGTATAGTTATTTATTTACAATTTATTATTATTAAATAGAAAATGTTATTAATACATTGAAAAATAATCAGTGTATTCAACAAATTAAACTAATAAAATGAATTCAGGTAATGCCAATAATTTTTCAACCAATATTTAAGATACGTTATCAGTACTAAAATGTATATTATTTTTAAAACGAACTATGAATATATTTTAACATTTTTCTTAATTTGAAAATCAACGATAAGATCCCACGTCCAAATACAAAATTACAGATTATAATCTATATGTTTTTTCTATAAAAATATTTATTATTTACTAATAATTATTGATAAAAAAATTACAATTGATTTTGAGCATAAGTGAAACTTTTTAACTATTACACGCTTTTTAATTAAAAAAAAAATATTATTATTAAAATAATTATTTATGACTGAAATATACATAAATACGCATAATTGTATTCTAGCAGGCTACCTAATAGTTTGATAGAAGTCCTATATAAAAAATAACAAAATAAAAGTATTCAGTTTCACAAATAACCATATTTTTAATAACTACATTAAATTCAAACGAGAATATCCATTGGAAAGTTATTATAAATTATAAAATTATATTCATTTATATTATGTTATGTTATGTTCTATTATACAATATAAAATCGTAACATACCTACTAATAGATAATAGATTCAAAATTTGATTGCTTTTAAACATACTAAGTAATATGTAAATACTATAATATAATATACATATTATGTTAAAAGGTATTAAAGTAAAATAGCTACAACGAATATTTAAAATCACGCACATTAACATAGACATTTATACCTGTAGGTCTTATAAATAATTTAAATAATATAATGCAAAATGTAATATAACATTGTAATGATTCGAAAAAAAAAAGTTTTTACTTATTCTAATTATTTAAACCCATTAATTAAACGATAACAACTCATGATACGAAAAATAATCGAGTACCTACAAATTACAAAAATGTAAATGCCGAGTTTAAAATGTATAAAAAAAAAAATATGAAATAGTAGCAAAAGATAAATATTATTTTGATGATAATTTATTTTAAAATCTTAATAGAATATTAATACATCATAATATAACTTCCAGCAAAATTATTTTTTTAGTAAATTACTACTCAGAATACTAAAACATTATTCAAAAACAATCATAACATTGCATATACGAAAGCACAAAAGAAATAACGAATAGTTTATAAAATATTTGTAGGATAATTTTATAATAAAAAAACTCCAAGATGTAACATCGTTTATATTTTTGTTGAGTTTGGTCAAGTGAAATCTTTTGATTTCATTTAAATACTTAGACAGGACACACGAGGGGTGTCCCGACACTGGATGAGCATGGTGTGAGGCAAACCGGCAGGTTTAATATGCACAAAGAAACCAGTTCTAAAATATTTCATACCTACTGGTCCAGGGATGCTCAGTAGTTGTTAAACTGTCTGAAGTCAACGGACTCTACGGTTATCAACATTGTCGAGTCATTCAAATAATCAGGAAAATACATTTTATTTTATTAACATCATGAATATATTAATCAGAGATGTTTATTTTGAATATAATTTTTTATTAATGCAAAATTATACGATGATAAAATTAGAATTTAAAAATTCTGAAATTAACAAATTTTTTTTTGAACCCGAATAAAATGAAAAATCTTAAAGAAGCAAGAATAATAATAGTAACCAGTTAAATATTTGGAACCATTGCACCAATGGTCGATCCTTAGCAAGTGCATGCTGTGACTGAGTAGTCAGTCTGACCAACAATTCAAACAATGAAGAATCTATTTCAATAGGAAACATGATTTTCCCCCCACTAAAGAACAATAAATTAATACCTATTATAGTACTATAGGGTTATATAGTATACATAGAGTTGTATGAAGTTTAAACAGATGGTATGCAGAATGTTATTAAAACTAAAACTACAAATTATTTAACCATTAAGTTTTAATAAACCAACTTAGATGCTTAATAAATAAAATATTTAAATATTGGATTAGATTCGATCAAAATAATGTGGTACCAATTATAACTTTTATGATATTAAAATTATAATTTGTTCGTGAATTACCAGTTTACGTAAAAATCGATGTACCTTTGTTGTTTTAAAAACGTCAAATAATATATTAACGACGAAAATAAATAAGTCTGAACATTTACAAATTATAATACTCATAAATGGACAGTACATATAATTCAATAATTAATAATTGTTACTTGGTTTGAATTTAGCTTTAATATTTTTCATAAGTCCATTTAAAACTATAATAGACAATATTTGTCACAAAAAGTTATGCCGAAAATATTTTGAACTTACTAATACTTATAATTTTGATTGATACTGATTAAAGTACAATATAGGAATACAAATATTTTAGTTTTTGAATATTGTTTAAATGTATACATAGCTGTGACCTGTGAATAGATTTTATTCACAGCTAATAATGTTAATTTTTATTGTAAAATAATTTTTGTATGTTATACGTGATTTATAATTAAAATTAAAGAAAATTTATTTAAATTGTATTGATATTTACGTGTATTTAATGGTATATACTATATATTATAAAAAATGTTTTTGAATTACGTGTAAGTGAATACATACTATACACTAGCGCTGCGGTTCATATTAAATAGTTAAAAAGGATTAAATTGTTTTTCCTTATTGTTTTCGTAAAAACTTTATAGCAAATAGTGTAATATTTTCTATTGTATATTCGTATATTCTCATATTAACCTTATATTTGTATATAATATTTATAATCATAATAATAACAATAATATTTATTTATTTATTTTTTAAGTTTAAATATGCATTAATTTATAATTAAGACAAATTTTAATAAAATTAATAAAATGGGTTATCAATAAGTATTTTTTTTTTGTTCCGTCATTAATGTTATTCACAACACAGGGCACCGTGGCTAAATTGGGTCTAAAAAAAGGCACCGCGGAAAAAAAAGTTTGGGAACCGCTGCACTAACGTCTCCCAAACTCTGATTGGCGGACCCCTAGGGGTCCACATGTATACTAAAGGGGGTCCGCAAATGTAAATCAAAAATACACAATGTACCAATCTATAAAAATATGTGTGTTTAGTTCAGAAAATAAAGCAATAAATTTAGTATTATTATTACTGTTTTTTAATTTTTATCGAGGGGTCCGCGATCATTTTTATTATTTCTAAGGGATCCGTCAGAGAAAAAGTTTGGGAAACGCTGCTATACACTATAGTATTTTTTTACTTAAAACCTAAAAAAATTCCAATATTTTATACTTGATTAAATGCGCTTAAAAATTAATTATTACCAAAAAACTATAGGTTTACCCAACCTCCATGATCAACACTAAACCTGGGACACTCATAATATATAAATATCAATATATATTGGATACTATAGATTCATATTTGAATTTGTTATAAAATATCTTTGAGAACGACTAAATAACATAATTAATTTTATCCATATCAAGTTCACTAAAATAAATTCAAGTTTAAATGTTGATTTAGCGAAAATGTCTAGAACTTATGAAAAAAGTAGAAATAGAAAATTTAAATGTGAGAAAATACTATAACGGCGAATCAAAATCAATTTTAAAATGTTTATTTCTTCAATAGATCGTTGAAAAAACAACAATTGTTTACATTATTAAGTAACGCGTTTAATAGATAAATAGAAAATTACCGCTTTCAAATCCCGTAAATGTTAAAACAATTAAACAACATATCTGAATTAATTTCCACATTTCAAAAACGTTGGATTAGACAGTAGAAGTACAATTTTATGATCCATCAGATGATTTTACAAATATTTAATTTTAGATTCCAATAGTAAATTTTAAAAAGTACTTATTGAATCAAAATGCAGAAGTAACATTACATGACGTTTTTGGTTGAAAAATATACAAAATAATATATTTTTATCATAGACTATTCTAATTAATGGTAAAGTAAATTTTGAAAATAAGAATAAGATTATATTTTTGATGAGTTGGACAAAAGAAAAAAATGCTAAGTATAAAACATAAAAAATTTGATTTTAAAAGAAAATTGTTATAACAATATATCTAAAATATTAAATAAATATATTATAATAAGCATAAATTGATTAGTTCGAACATTTTACCTTGATATTCCAAGTAAAAAAAAAAAGTATTATTTATTATTATAATCCTACATTTTCATTTAATATATTTTAAAAACAGTTAATTTTCCAATTCAAATATATCTTTATATAAATAGCCACTTAAAATTTACCTTATATATTTAAAATATAATACGTTAAAATGTATTTTTTTTTCTTATCTGATTAAAATGAATAATGATTATTAAACACACAAAATGCACTACATGTGTTTTTAATAAAAATTGTAATCGTGAATAAATATTTGGAACCATGCATGTTTAATAATTTTGACATATATCACGAAGTATTTTAAACTGTATAAAATCTAAAATATCAGAGGAAAATGTACAGGTTAGCTAAATTAAATGTCTACGTCTCGCTAGGTTTGTAAATTTAAGTAATAAATTGTATATTTTTATTGCAGTGAAATGTATATCTACTCAAAATATATATTTTAATCATTTAATATTATTTAGATATCGTAAAAATTATTCAAAAATTTAATCGTCAGGTTATAGGTATTTATATTACTTTTATAAAGAAAATTGTAGACGTAAATTAGGTATAATAATTATCTACAATATTGCTGTAATTACATTATCGTTTTTAAATTGTCATCCTAAAAATTAATATAAAACAATTAAAATAAAATAAAATAACTTACCAGTTTTCTCTTTAATTTCACATAAAACGCTGAATAATGAAGGCTTCATTCGGTGACAATTTAATGTATGTTTTCTGAAAAAATAATAAGAGTAAGTTTTAAAATATATTTATTAATTTAATTTCAATTTGTTCATAAATTATATATTATAACATGATATTTTATTATATCACAGTTTAAGAAATTAAGAAAAAATATTTGCCATTAATTGGTATATAATACAATATTTAATAATAATTTATAATTATAAATAATACATAAGGAATAGAGAAAAAGATTTTCGATGACAACTTATACAACCATGTCTAACTATGTCACGCGTCCTAAAATTGCATTACACATTAGTATAACAATAACGTATAATTGAAACAAATAATAATCGGAAGTATAATTTTTAAATTTATTAATAAAGCAAAATTTCAATCGTATAATATGAGCAAGCTAAAATCAAAAGTCACATGTTTCAGAAATCATTTTTCCAGAATGTAAAACTTTTAGCTTAAAATGTATTTAAACGACGAAAATAATTTTTTTTCTTTATGAAAGATTCGTGTTTCTCGGCATAAATTATACAATAATGATGTATTTTATTTTATTTAATATTACGGTAACTTTTCTCGTCCTTTCCTTGTCGTTTTCTGAAAAAAGTGATTTCTGGAGCATGTAACTTTTGATTCTAACCTACTCATATATAGTATAGTACTATATAATTATAAAATATTATAGTATCAATATTTTTAAATAAATGTCGTCATTATAGGTAACAAAGATTTTAAACTTGATTTTTAATCATTTTTACATTTCAATTAAATTTAAATATTAATAATAATCTACATAACCTAGAAATATGAATACTTTGAAAAAAATATAATTTAGATTAAATTATAAAATCATTAAATGTTAATCTATAAATTATCTTAAAAAGACATAAAACGCTTTAATGACTGCAATAAAATAATTAACCTAAAGAATTAAATTATATTTATACCTTTAGTTAATTGAATCATCAAATATAATAGAATTATTGCGATTCAAAGAAAATTGTTTTTTCAACTTTAAATAATTTATAATTCTTTATTAAATTAAATTTTATTAGTTATTTAAAAATATCTTGAAATAAAAATAATAACTAACATAAATCAATGAAAAACAAAAAATTGTTTAAAATTGTTTTAAAAATATATTATTCATCGACCATCCTTCAGGATGATAAATATTTAATGGATTTAACAACTTGATTTAAGCTACTTTAAATTTAACAATCGTAAATTGTAAGTATCACAAGTTAATTGTTTGTATTGTACAAACAATGATTAATCAATGATTAAAACTAAAGTGATTAAATTATGTACAATTGATTCAAATATTAAAATACAAAACATTTTTTGTTTAAAAATATGTAATATTTAGACTCCTATCCAAATTAATTTTAAATAAAAAATAATCACTAAAATGTCATATTATTGGAAAAAACGAAATCATGTAAGAACATATTTTTAATTTTATTTAAAAAAATCTAGCTAAGTTTACCCAAATTTTATCATGAAATGTACTATTTTTTAAATTAAAAAAATAAAAATAAGATAGCCAATCAATTTTATCCTTAATATCAACAAAACAGTCTCTAAATTATATTTGTATGTACCTTAAATTATTATTTTTATATAGGTAGTACATAACTAACTTGATAAACCATACTTAATACCACTCAATGCAAAAGGTATACTTATATCAAGTATCTTTAATATTATTATTAATTACTTTATTTATTGTAAATATAATTTAATGATGTACATAAATAAATTAATAAAATATATGCTAATTCGTAATTAACTTTTTAATCCAAAAATTTTTCTTATTGAATAAAAAAATATATAAACATTTTATTCGAATATCTACCATATATGCGGCAATTAGGAGTTTCAGAGAAGACGATTTGTATAAATTCTAACATAGTACTAAACTATTTTTATTAAATGACCGGTTACATCCCCGTTTTAAGTGGTAAATGACATAAGCGCCAAAATGAGATAAAGAAAAAAAATCGTATCGTACGAAAGCGTTAAGATCCTGGGTACCTGTGTGCCATACTTATTACACTTTATGCTTTATTCCAAATAGATATTCAATTTATTAGAACTATATTGTTCAATGACTCCAAATGTTTAACCTAAATCGACAAATCTATTATCTGATTACGATAAATTGTCACACGATAGTATGTAAGCAATTTTGTGTTTTAATATTTCGCTTAGTGATGGGAATAATCGAATGATTTCAATATTCGAAATATTCTCTTGATTAAAATAATTGAAATATTAACATTATTGATTAAAAACCAATCAATAGTCAATTTATTAATGCAAAATTAAACACTTTATAAATATAAATATAAACACAAAACAAAATACATTAAAAAATAAAATTCTTATCAACGTTAAGAATAAAGGTATTCAATATTATTAAACCGATATATTATATATATTTAACATGAATTATACAAATGGAAGTGTATCCTATATCACGGTCTTGTAAACATATACAAATTTAATATTAAATTTGTAATAAATTGTATTAATAAATTAATAAATTGTACTTAGAAGTTATAAATAATATTATGAACAAGAGTTATTTACGTAGATACTAAGTAATAAAATAGAATTGTTTACTAACTTCAAATATAAAACATTTAAAGTAGGAAATTTGGAATGAAATAAACAAATAAATTAATTAAAAAAACGAAAAAGTATTATAATATAAAAATATTTGAAGTCTATAATGATTATTGATTTATGATTCGTGATGATAGACAAGTAGATTAGTTATTAATTAATTATTTTTGTGTTTTAGGAATTCAAAAGTGAGATCAGATATTTGTCATTAATAGATTAGTAGAATACAATAATATTTGATTATAAGTTACTATTACTTATTGAAGTTCGAGTAACTCGTATTTTATTAGTAATTAATAATATAGTATTTACTAATTTAGAAATTACTCTTATTATTTGATTATTATCACTCGATAATCCCATTACTAATTTTATTACTACTTCGTAAGCATTCGTGTAAGCTTTGTATAAAATTAATTTCACAAAAACCAATATAAATAAAGACGTAGCGTGCATTGTATTTATTGAGTAAAAATAGAGATTTTCACTAGAAATGGCCATCAGTAATAAATCATTAGTACACAAAAAATATAAATAAAAATATTTTGCTAAAAAAGAGATGAATAAATCTATGATTGTAATTGTTTGTGTTAATAGTAAGCGTACCTATACACGATATAGTAAGTGATCATGATACCCAGTGTTACATTTTGCATAATAATTGTAAAAGAAAAGCAACTGAAATATTACCGACAGGCCATTAAAAATAATGTGTCACGAGTTATGTGCTACTAAAAATACTGTAATGTTTTCAGATGAAATTGGAAATATTCGAATTTCATTGTACAAAGACGTAAATTATTGCTAAAAACTTCTCAATATTGGGAGAAATCTATTAATCCAGTTAGCAATCGAACTATTTTAACTAATAGGCACAAAACGTTTTTTCATAAAGATACAGAAAGTAAAATCAGTTTCTGACCACTAAATCAAATATTCAATACATGTGCCACAATAGTTCAATTATAGTTGCCGATGGTAACTATATATATATGATATATTTTACGTATATACGAAATTCTTTTACTAGTTATATATAACTATATATACGATACATATTTATAATTGTGGAAGCTATTTATATTTGATTACTTTTTACTACCAATTTCATGTTGTTCATTGTTCCGTTCATATAGTAATTGAAGTGTTATTAAAATTACAAAGCAATATTTATTTATTTATGAATTCTCCTCAACACGAAAAATTATGATATCTTAAAAATAAATTATTGTACAATGGAAAAAATACCAAGATGGTGAAATAAATCATTTAGAATATGTGAAATAAGTTAGATTAAAAAGTCAAACAATTTATAAAAAATTATACTTATTTTCATATATTTATATGTATGTTTTATTTTATCGATTATTAACAATTTTAAATATTTTAAGTACTTAAAGCAAAATACATAAAATATTTATTTTGGCATAAATGATACATCCTTTTTGCACCTATGGAGTTCATGCCATACAGCTATAACAGGTATACAATATAAGATTATTGATGCTTATGTCCTATAAATGTTGGCGCAAATTATATGTAATTTTTACACCTTTAATGCTTATGTCATATAGACTTTTTGAGAATATAAAGGACATTTTATAAGATTTTTTAAGACAATAACAATATTTTTAAACCTAATAGAAATCTAAAGGTTCATATGAACATTCTCCCATTAATATAACCAACAACTTCTCAGAGTATAAATGATAAATAAATTAAAACCTTTCGGATAAAATGTTTTTAAATTGAAAAGGTAAGATAATATTACCAAATATTATAAAATAACTATGTCAAGTGTTAAGTAATATACTAAAATATATAAAATATATAATGATCTCTTGAAATAAAATAATAATCAAATTATTATTAATTTTTACTTGAAAAAAATAAATCATAGATATAAATGCTATGTAGGTATTCTACAAATTATCAACATTAATAAAGAAACATTATTATTTTTTTAATACATAATAAATTTGACCAGCAGTGAGCTTGACTCACTTTTCTTAGGTTTGGTTAAGTCATAATATTTACATTATTTTTTGAAATTTCAAAATAATAATTTATTATATAAGAAGAAAAATTTGGAGTGAATCTAAATTATATTTACATTCTTTATAATGTTAAAATTTAAGTAGACATAAAAAAATGTTAAACATTTTTATAAACATTAACCATGGCGTAGTTTATGCATTTGTAATTGATATCTTATTAAAGTCCCACAAACAAATAATACATTATAATTTATAATAATATGAAATGTAAAACAATTTGTAAGAAAAATGTTTCATTACAGAGTATAATTCAAATAAAAATAAAAATAAAAAAAGCTATTTATTATTACTTTATATTATTTTTAAATGTATTTTATTGTTGAATAACATATACATTTTTAGTTATGTACTAAAATGTACATGATAAATTTGATCAAAAGAGAAATGCACGGTAAATTAAAATTTGTTTTGAAAATTGAACGCCACATCACTAAATCAATTAATAAATTGAAAATAGAAAATGTCTATTCTTTACCGCCATAGCCACGACAAATCATCACTATTGATTTCCTTATCTGGGAAGGCAAAGATTCTATTGGTACTAAAATAGCATAAGAATAACAAATAGCACCTATTATGTTATGTATAATATTATAACAGTTTTTTCAGTAGTTATTCACAATAATTATAAAAAAATTAATGATTTATAAATTAACATTGAATTTTTGAGTATTTGAAAATTAGGTTTATATTTATTTTTATGTTGAATTGCATGATTAAAGTAAATAACAATGATATTACGATAATGTACCTATCATATATGCACATGTGTATCTGTGTATAAACATTTGTATTTAGTTTCAATGTTATAAAATGTAACATGGTACAACAACAATTATTTTTAGACATTAATGATTATAAAATATATTAAATGTAATATTCCATATATAAAATCATCATACATATTTTACTTATTGGGGTTAACCCTCCCGTCAGTACACCACTGCATTTGATAGAAATTTGTGGACTTAAAACGTACTGATAATTAAAATTTAATGATTTTCTTCTTTTTAACAAGAAAATTATAATTACCTGAATCATAAAAAAAGAGTAGAATAGTAAGGTACTAAAAAATATCATCAATAAGATAAAATAAATAAATGAACGAGACTACTAATTGTTGTCAACTCATGGTTTATTTATGTTGATGGGTAACCTGAGTACACAAATAAATTATTTAAACTAGATCACTGTAACTTAACTCAAATACCAAAGAATAATACAATTTTTTTTTTTTTATTGTATATAAAATTTTTATATTTTGAGTATTTAACTGTGATCCTAGATTCAACTTAAATAAATTAAGTAAAGAAACTATTGAATATGTAACAAATACTTTAAGTTAATATAATTTATTAGTGAGTAAAAAATATAATATAAAGGTTCAAGTACCAAATTCTGTAATAAGAATAATAATTCCAGAGTTAATATATTTATTATATTATTTATATATGGAGAAAAAATATTTTTTTAGTTGAATGTACCACTTGAAAGTATAAAATTGACATACAAATCAATAGATTACTACACCAAATTTATGTTACATATTTATAAACTAGACAAAATATAAAAGGCTATATTCGTAAAATGATAATCTTTAATAATGATTAGCTTAATTTCTCTAACTAATATTAAAAGGATTCCGATTTAGATTTCCATTAAACCAAATACAATATTAATTGAATGAAGTTTTATAAGCTTGAGTTTTTTTTTTTTTTTTTTGTATTGAGTTAAATAGAATATAATTAAATTATTTTTAATCTGTTAATTTAATAACCATATGAAATTTGGTTTTATTTAGTAAATCATCTTATAATTTCCTAAAACATATATTTTACCACAAAAACTAAATTAATTGATGTACACTAAATTATATTCTTTGGTAAACCAGGATAACATATTACAAAAATATTTTAATAAAGAGTTTAAAACCTAATGATTTTTTTTTAAACCTATTTAGAAGCCAAATCAGAATCAAATTTTAATATAAATGCTCTTTAAGAAATATAACTAGCATTTTGATTTTTATGTTGAACTTTTTAATAAATCATTGAAAATGTGTATACATTTTAATTTTAACAGTATTTAGTTAAAAAAGAGAAGAAAAAATTGAAGCTTTGAAAAAGTTAATTATGCTGTATAATTGAATACCAATATAAAATTCATAATATATTCTATGTGCTACAGTTTAAATCATAGTATAGTATAAGTGATAAGTTATTTTACAGTTTTGTTATCGAAGATCGACTATCGATAATAATAAGAAAAAAGTTTTAATATGAAATTTCAACTAAGACCAAAAATCATCTTAAAGGATCAATAAATTAATAAATCTGTAAATTTATAACAAATTAAAAGAACAACTTAATCCTATAGATATAAATTTAAATTTAACGTAAAATAAAACTTGTACTACATCAAAAATCAAAGAAAACTCACTGAAGAATAGAAAATATTAGTTAACTATCTTTTAATTTTTTTTATTAAAACTAGTGTTTTATTGCATTAATTTATAGTTTTAAGATTGATTTGTATAATTTATTCATAAAAATGAATAGCATTTACCTCAAAGATTAACAAACTTAATATTTCTTAAAAAAAAATTATAAAAAACTGTTATTTTAACTTTATTGATAAACAATAATTTATAGATAAAAAAAATAGGTACTATCAGCAAATTATCTTTAAAATAATAAATAAATATCACGATAAATATTGACTTTAATCATTAATTTTATTTTATTTAATTATATATTTATTAAATAACCATATTTAAGTAATAAACATTTACTTTAATATTAATTTTCATATATATTTTATAATAAATTGTTTCAGTTACCTACATTTATTGGTATTTTAGTATTTGTAGGATTATAATATTTATAATGAAAAACCAATTATATTTTTAAAATAGGAGGAAAAATATAGTAGATATTAAAAAGTTTAAAGGAATAAACCTCCCTTTAAAAAAATTCTTAAATCCTAGTTACATGTTTGAGTTCATAAATTGAAACTCATATTAGTTACATTTCAATTAATCATCAAATTGTTAACTAAAATATGAAATTAAAATAATTTGAGTTATTAAAAATTAGATGTAGGTAATCAACTACTAAAGACTTTAAATTTTAATGTTCAATAACTTTCAAAACTGTACTTATAAATTATAATACTAAACATATTAGGGAACAAAAAAAATTACTGCTTACATATTTTGAACAATAATAAAGATAATTAGATTTTTTTTTAATATTTCTTAATGAATTTATATGTATATATCTTCCTCAGTTAACAAAATAGGATATTATAAAAATGTAGGATGTTTAACAAGACTAGTGATAAGAACTTATAGAAAGTCAATAAGCATATAACTACTAAAAGACTTAAAGCAATAAATTGTCTACTATGAAAGACTTATATAAAAACAATATTTTGACTATCAAAGTTGAACTGATTTTACATCAATCATGAAATATTGGGCAATGATAATAAATCATCTAAAAAAATTAACAAATCAACTAGTTATTACAGTATTTAAGTTCATAATTACATACAAAACAACCTATAAACCTAGGAACTTTCCAAGACCAAATGCAAAATAAAGGGTATAAATTTGGTTTTACCTAGCTTGAGCTTCGTCCAAGGACTGATCCGTAATGTTCATTATTTGTTGTAAAATTTCCCCGATATCTTGTTTGCGTGTATCTTGATCAGGTGGAGTAGGTGCACCATGGTTAGGATCAACAGACGACATCCCATATGGTTGAGATAACATCGCACTAGTCGGATGCATCATACGATTATGCTCATCCATACTATTCATATTTAAGAATTCTGCAATATAATGAAAACATACATTATCAATCTAATAAAAAGATAAGAGTTCATAAATAAATCATCCACAAATAATAAGAAACGATAAAAACTTTTAGTACTAGGTATTAGCAATTCAGTTTTAGTTTTGATCTGAAGACTACGGTCGATTTAGAACAACCAATACACCAGTGCAAAATACCTTATGAAGTTTAAGAAACATACATTAAATTTTAATATAATATCGAGTACTTACATTTTGACTTGTTTGAGAAAAAATTAAGCAGCATAACAAGAAAAAAAAATAGATTCTACACAATCGGATTAGATTACAAACTTCCCACGCGAGAGAATACACAAAACGACCGACTTGAAAATAGGGGTAGGTACAAAAACATCCGACGGAGATAATTTACATAAAATATTAATCAAATTTTCAATTTCAATAAGACGACGTGAAATGCAGTTGGGGAGAGAAAAAAGGAGCAATGTCGACGATCACATGAACCGCGTTTTCTAAGGAACGGAAGAAAAACAAAAACTAAAATACTAGAATAAACCTGATCCCATCGGGATCGGTTATTATTTGATAATATTAGCAGAACAGTAATAATAATAATAATAATAATAATAATAATAACAACAATGAAATAAACACAAAAACAAAAAAAAAAAACAAAAGAAATATGGCCGTAACACAAAACGGTACGGACGAGACGCGGACAACTGGGATTGAGAGCTGTCTCGGCGCCGGTGGTAGAGCGGTTCCAGATTTCCCAATGCTCGGGGGTAGTGGGGGTAGCCGTCGGAATGCCGTCTGCCGACCAATGGCAGACGTCGATTTTGCGTCGCGGACGACGACGGCGATACGGTCAACTACAACACGTACTATACTCCACTACTCCGCCAAATGAAGCATAATAATGGACCGATCAAACAAGCGCGTGCGCGCGCCCTCGCTCCCCGGGAAAATCCCAGTGCGTTGCGCCACTGATTCCGTGCTTATCAACTGATGTGTCGGCCGTTTGTCCCGAGTACGGTACGCAAGTCCTAACCGTCTGTTTCTCTACCGAATCGTTTTGCACGATAGCAATTTTTCGTTTTTTTAACCTATATGCACCGGGGTCGTTTAAATCCAGTTACAACGTTGCTACTATATTCTATACCTATAATGCACTGCTGATTACGTTAGACATATGTCTAATGTCCAATTTTAAGTTACAATACACAATTTACACATCTTGATGTTGCATAATTTCTTGTTGTTATAATTATTTTGATTTTAAATTCTAAGTTAAGCAAAAAATTTTATGGAATTTCGATGATGATTAAATTTTTTATTTTTTCACTGTAAACACTTTAATGGATAAAAATACTGGTCCAAGACTTTGTCTACCAACTTTTTAGTTCTATCTCAATAGTTTTTCCAAAACTACCGAAAAACCACAGAAAAACTGTAAAAATGTATAAATGAGAATTTCACTTTTCATATTATAATTATTTAGTCACAATTCCAAATGTAATGTGGCTTATAACTTAAAAATGTTACTTATAACAGAGTTATTTTTTTATTATTTGACAAACAAAAGTTATGTAGGTAATTTTAATTTAAATACAGAACTTTGAAAATACCTAATTTTTTAATAGTTATTATGTTATACAATTTTTATATTCAAACATTAAGACTTGAAGATTTAATATAACTTTATTCATAATGTTTACCTATCGATATTAAAAATTTCCAAAAATCGTTAGTCAGAATTTGATTTTATCAGCGTTTAAGTAATTTATTATACGACTTTTATGGAATTTACTGTTATTTATTAAAAAAAGATAAATGTTTACAAAAAAAAATTGATTTATTCAATCAAAATGAAACTTTGGATAAAAACTGAACATATTTTGAAGATTTGTTCAAAAAAATGTCTCCTTCGTCAAACAAAAACATTTTAAATAGATTAATAAACAAATAGAAAGAGCCAACTGATAAATAAATTAAAAATTGTAAAATATATAAAAGATATATTTTTATACTGAAGCTTTGCTCAAAATCATTTTACTAAAGAAACGAGTTATTATTTTTTTAAAATTCAATACACCCATTACCATTATCCAATTCGAAGATCGAAGGGACAAAAAACAAACTTCCGTTACCATTACCTTACCGGTTTTAGTAACCTGGTAACCAAGTTAGGTTGAGAGGTCCAGTCAAACAGAAAACGGTCTGTTCGCCAGGCCGTTGCAGATTGCAACTGTCAAACAGAATTCGGACAAATTTGAGCGAATGTGAAAACCAAAAGTCTACTGCTGGTTATTTTTATTTTTTTTATCATATGTTTTCTGTTGTCATATTTTTATTCAAAATAACTAACAGTTCTTCTGACGAAGAAGAATCGTTTCATTTTTTGTCTAGTTTTTATTTTGAAATTGGAATTGAAGGTTTCTACGTATTTTGAATTTTATATTAATTACAAAATAAATTCAGTCCCTGCAAGCATCGTGAAAAATACATCCATTTATTTGTTCACCGCAGTATGCTACGTATGTCTGTTTAACCAGAATGAAGCAATTCAGCGCCTAAAATATATTAGATTCATCACTATGTAATTCACTATATATAAACCTATAAGCATATTTGATGTATTTAATAAAGATATTATGCATAAGATAAAAATATTTAACCAGTTAAGTAAAAAATTAGATAAACTCAAGTTTATACTGTACTATTCTGTTTCTTTACTTTTCACGAAAAAATGTAGTCTAAATAGCCTTGTCCTTATGCCCTTATTTATTTAGACTTAGATAACTTAACCATTGATTATTAGTAATATATAACCAATGTTTAAGTATATCAATTACCACTAATATATATATATATATATATATATATATATATATATATATATATATAATATAAATATAATTATTTTTCAATAAGAATATTCTACATTTTATCGATTATGGGAGAGATCACGTAAGAGTAAGATATGTACTAATATAGTAATGTTATACTACATACATAATAGATATAATAATTATATGCCTATTGTACATGGTAAATCGACTAATCAATAAAATCTTGGCGGTTGACTACAATAAGTACAAAATTAAACAAATTAGTATCAACATTATTTTTTATTGAAATAAAGTATTATTAAATCTTTAACATAGTATATTATAATATATTATAAAAATTAGATTATAATATTTAACATGTATAATTCTTTACAGCGAGATATATTTTTCTAAAAACGTGCTACCCATATTATGAATATAGCTGTAATGGTCGTGTCTGTATACCATAAATTAAAAATAGCTATCCATTATAGTAGTATTATTGCTATTAATTTGTTCTAGGGAATGATCTTTGTGAGAATACTATAAGTATATAAGTTGATATAAAATTGAATCTAATTTTATAAATTAAATATTTACAAACAAATTAATTTGGAATGTTATTTTTAATAAAAATAATAAAAAACCAGATTTAACAAACAAGAATAATGTATACTATCAACATTTGTATAGTATATTATTTAAAATGTAATATATGTGATTATAAACATTTTGAATATAACTGCAATACAGATATTGTTCACAAAAAGTGAATAAAACAATAATTTCGAATTATTTTTTAATGTTTCTTATATTTTTAAAAAAACATATTATTTTAAACTTTTTAATATTGTTTTAAGTAACTCAATAGCAAAATGAAATAGTTTGAAAATTCACTAATTATGTTTCAAAATCAACTATTTTATATTTTACTATTTTACTGTATACAGGTATAACTACTCAAATATTCTACTACATGTATCTATATTGTTCTATATTGTTCTACATTGTTGAAAAAAACTCAGGCCATCCTATACATACCAAAATTGACCACGAAAGTAATTCGTCTACAAAAATAGACGTGGGGAAGCAATATATAAAGTTTAAACGGTAGTTGGATAAACCTAATATTTTTTCGTTGGAAAATGCAAATTGAATTCTGTTTTTTTTTAGGTGGAAGTTACACTTAATAATACACATTTTTATGGTCTCTGAACTTAAATCAGTTTATTATAGTCGCGCATGCCAAATCCAATTTTTTTTTTCTTAAATAGCAACCTCCACTTTTGAGCAATAATTATTATTTTTCTTAACTAATGTAATTGAAATAATTGAACCGTAATTTGTAAGTTGCATTGAACTGTGAGTTGAATTTTTAAATAATTTGAATATTCACTCATCTAAATAAAAATACATTAACGAAAATCAATTTAAACAAATTTAGTAGATTTTTATAGTATTTCAAAGTTACCAAGAGAGTGAAAGTTGACTAGTAAAGACTTGGATACATTTTAAAATAAAAGCGCTTTACACTGTTGACTTTAATCCCACATATTTTACCAAAAATCATTCCCCCGACAAACGCAAAAATATTTTCTCTAAATTCCGCAACATATTTACAAATAGACAATTGTACTTTTGAAATTTTCATTAGAATCACGAATACATTCTATCGTGAAACACAACTAAAATATAGTTCAATATAGTTCAATATAATTCAATATAGAGATTACAAGAATTGGTCCTGACTAAATTATTTATATCTAGAAGTGTTTGGATAATATGGATAATACGATTAAGTATAAGAAAACAAATTATTTTGAACCATAGCAATACATGGGTAGAACCAACGAAACAGTAAAAGAAATGGGTGTGAAACATTTAGGTATTTAACTATAATGCAATGGAAAATCGTAAAATATAGAAATATGCAGTGCACATTAAAACAAAACATGCAAAAATACGCAAAATAAAACTTTGTACTTTGGATCTATTGATTATAATTCAAACTTGTAGCTTATTTAGTTATTTTTTGAACTGTTAAAAAAAAAAAAACATGTAAATCCATATAATTTCGGTTCCAAGTTATAAAATTGCTAATATTACTACATTTGAGTTGCGATAACTCGAACTTCGATAACTCGAATTGTGTTTTATTCCCCTAGAAAATTCGCCCCCTATAAATTAGTTAGATATCACAAATAATACATATTTCAAAGTGAATTTTCATCCCTCTTCAACTTCGAGTTATCGCGACTCGACTGTATTATAAAATTACAGAATAATAATAATATACAATACCAAATTATATAACTAAATAATATACATAAATACATACATTTTATTTCAAGTATCAAAAAAATGTAATGGTACCAAAATAAATCGGAACACTGGCAAAGAGTGATCATACAACATCAAGCGTGCTTTTAATTCCAGTTTCAACACTGAACAAACTGAGTGACTTGAGTGTTTATCGTGTTTTTCAATAACATACAAGAAGCTAAATATTTTCAATCCGTTTTATTTTGTTGTGCCTTATAAGACTGCGTGTGAGCGATTATATGCATTTTATATAGTATTAGTAATATTATATCAAATGTATCTATTTTATGCGCGTCGTCATATTTTTTTAGTTATTATTTATGGACGTATAATATAATAACAGGTAATTTTATAATATTATGCATTTATGCATAATATACATATTTGTAATAATAAAATATACAAATATATCTATACAAATGTATTTATATTGGAGGCCCCTCCACTTGCCCGATGATATTTACAAGTGACCGTTTTCCTCAACCGTGACTGTTCAGACGTAATGTAATGGTACGTTACAGTCTCCGGTTCTGAGGCTGTCTACAATTATCACGCAGCACAAAGACTGAAACGAGTTTTTGCGTGTATACCAAAACGAGTTTATGTATGTGATTTTAACTATTGAGCGCGAATATTACCCACTGTGGTGGTGTTATAACAATATTGTTATTGGTTATAATTGTATAGTCGTCTTAGGTGGAAACGGAAGAAGTATATTTAGGAGGCTCAACAATTTTTATAATTTTTTGTTATGGTAGATAGTAAATATTAATAATAATAATAATAATAATAACAAATAATATAATAAGATTAATAATAATGTTTTTGTTTTTTAATTAAAAATATAAAATAAATACAAAATCTTTTTTATTCATCTATTTCTTTTTTTAATAGTATTATTAAGATAAAAATTTATAATAAACATTATTTATAAACTAATCAATTTTTTTTTTATTTGAAAAACAATTTATATTTACAAGTTATACAATCAGTAAATTGGATGATTTTTTTTAGAATGATAGGTAGGGGAAACCGCCCATTAGCGACACCCAAAGAAAAATGGTTTAGGGAAAGAATAGGTTCCTGCACCAGTTCTTTTTGAGGCATTTGGGTGGGTTGTCTGGAATTTGTTTTGATGAAAGATTAGTGATTATAGGATTTGTATGAGTATTGAAAGTTTTGTGTGTTTTTATGTAAGTGAGTGTAGCAAGATTATTTAAAGTTGGAATACAAATATCTTTATGTAGTGAGTCATTAGTGATGTATCAAGGAGCGCCTGTTATTAATCGTAGACAAATAAGTTGAAAAGCCTGTATTGTTCTGGTGTTAGACGATTTCGCTGAGCCCCAAAGTTGGATACCATAGTACTAGATGGGTCTTAGAAGAGCCATGTAGACTGTACGTTTTGTTTTGATGGAGAGATTAGAGCGGAGTAGAGGTCTGAGAAGGTGAAGTCTCGAATTGAGTGCTTTGCGTTTGTATTTTAAATGAGGAGCCCAAGTGAGGCGTTTGTCAAGCGTATTTGTATGTGGTATTTAGTTTGTGTGTGAGAGGGTATTTGTGTATTTTCGATAAATGTTGGAGGGCAATCCAAGGAGCGTAGGGTGAAGGTAACTCGAGAGGATTTAGCTGAATTGACGTTGATTTTCCAGTTGTGAAACCAAACGTTTAGCTCAGATAAGTGGTTTTGAATTTTTTGAGTGGCTTGATTAGGATCGTTGTCGATAGCGAGAATAGCATTGTCGTCCGCAAATGTACATAGTAGAGTGTTTGAATTTAAAGTTAAGTCACTGGTAAATAATAATTACAAAAATATATTTTAAACACATTTCAGTAGTCAAATTCTGCATTAAAAGATTTATGCAGCAACTTTTTATATATCTGTTGAAATTTAAATTGGCCTTAATGCTCGGGAAAATATGTTAAACTAGAGATAATTTAATAATGTAACATTTCGTGTGACAACCATGGTTTATATTTTATTTTTATAACAAAATGAATAGTGTTATATTTAGAGCGCGGATTTGTATGCACTTAAACGTATCGAAATATGCCATATAATATGCAGCAAAAATCATGAAAATATGCAGTCAAAATCATGAAAATATGTAAAAAATATGCAGTCAAAATTATGAAAATATGTAAAAAATATGCAAGAATTTTTTATTTATTTAAAAGTTATAATTCAACTTATAATAATTAATTACTTAAATACTTAATAAAAAAAAAATGTAGGAAATTTTCTGAACAATTTATTTTTAAAATTTTATTTATTATTAAAATGAATAAATATATGCATTTCAAGTTTATCTTCTGTGAAGCTGGGTCGTTTATCGGTTAACATATTTTTAAAGACAGAAAACGAACGTTCGACGTCAACCGAAGTTATTGGGGCATATTTGAAGCAACTTAATATTGTCGGATCTTGATAAAGATCTTCGAGCTGAACTTTTTCGCCTAATAACACTGAATTAATTTTTCGTAGAATTTTCAGACCTTCATTTTTGCTGGAAAGCTCGTTTAATTCTGTTGTAAGAGTTGCACCTTTCGATCCAGGAATAGAATGAATTTTTTTTTCGTTTCATCAATTATTGAAAAGTTTTCATGTAAAGTCATATTTTGAATTTCCAGTTTTTTTATGACTATCACTAAAAATGCCAAATGAGTAGATATAAATGTTAAATCATTGACAACATTACCATCTTCAATTATATCCAAAACTTTTCTAATACTTTGGGCATCTTCCATTGCCAGTCGCTCGATGACTTTTTTATATTTGGTAAAATAATCTGCGTAATATAACGCAGCATGTACCCATGTTCCCCACCTTGTAAGAACTGGAACAGATGGTAAAGGGATATCATTCATTTCTTCTTTAAAAATAGAGAATCGACTAGGCGCTTTTAAAAATATTTTCTTCCCATTATTAATTAAAGCATTAACTTTTGGAAATAACTCCCTTACTTTTTATGCAAAACGATTACAAGCATGAGGGGTACATGTTACATGGATCATATTAATATAAAATATCTTAAAATACTTCCCTGCTTTCATCATGTATGTCGCCGAGTCTGTTAACAAAAGTAATACACGCCGTTTTATTCCCACATCTGTCCATAATAGTCATTGACAAATCGTGTAATCGTTTCATTGTATGTTTTCTCCAATTGTTTACATGCTAAAACATAAGGTTTCCCAGAAAAGTTTTTATTCATAACTCCTACAAGTATATTTGCAATGTATAAGCCCCGTGCATTAATTGTCTCGTCTACAACAATATATATAAAATTTTGCCCAATTTTTTTTTTAATTTCATTCATTGTTTTTTGATAGCATATATTTACATAGCTCTTTCGCAATGTGCTTTCATCTGGGATAGGATGATTAATGTATTTATTCAAAAAATTACGAAACTGTTCGTTTTTTAACTTGTGTAAGAGTATGTCAGAAGAAACTTTAGCGAAATATAAATCTTCAAAAAAAGTGTTATTGGTAGAACTTGATCTAGAACTAGTTGTAAGTTATTGTTATTTGATAACTTATTTTTAAGTGCAGACAAATGTGCAGCTAAAATATAAAATTAAAATAAAAAAATAAAGAAAACAAATTAAAAAAAATTCTATTTCTATTTTTATATGTATCGACCTGTTTTTATGTGTTGATCTACCTGAGCCTTTCTCTCACAAACAATAGATTTTCCACAATGGTTACAAAATACTATTTTCCTGTCAGTAGTGAAAACCTCGGTGTCTGTGTTTGCTGTGAAAATCCATTCACGAATTTTGTTACAAATTGAACTCCTTATTTTTGGCATATTTACAATTTACGGACAACGACAAGCGATGAAATTTAGTTGTATATTGATATGTCGGTAACTGACTGCTACAGTAAGAGCAATTAAGATTATAGGTAGACACACGTTTATTTTCGCCATATTCACGATTTATGGACAACAACAAACGATGTAACCAAGTGCCGAGTGGTGTGTCGATAATTAACTTACAAAGCAAGAGCGATTAAGTTTAAGTTGTAATCGATTATTTATTTTATAATTAAATATATATATATAAATTATTATTTAGTGACTATGAAATTTAGTTTTAATTTTTCTACTTGACAAAATATTATTTTATACATTTTTTTTTAAATTTTCGCTTCAATATGTAATACATTTTGAATTTTGCCAAAATATGCAAAAATATGTCATAACCTCAAAATATGCAGAAATATATAAAAAAAATTTCACCATTAGCTTTAAATTATGATGATTCGTGTAGATAACTGACAAAAATCCAAAAATATTAAAAGGAAAAAAATATGCAATTGCATAGAAATCCGCGCTCTAGTTATATTAGATAGGTACTGTTTTGCCTTTATATTTGGGGTTAATTCAAATTTTACATTTATTTTATAGCACATTATATATAATTAAAAATAGATAATTTAATTGAGGCGATGAACGTTTTTTCGCCATAAGAACCCTAGGAGTTTAGGACACAAACATATCGCCATGTTGAATTAATCTTAACATAGTAAATAAACTTTAAAATACAATTTTACGATTTAAAGCTCTAGAAAATACAACAGCAGAATGCATGATGATAGTATGATTACTAATTAGTTACTATAGTAAAAGGAAAGCATGCATTCCTTCGATAGAAAAAAGGATAACATGGGGGAACACTAGAGAAGTATTTTGGAACAGCTTTACAAAAATCGAGAAAACTGTTACCTACATAAGAAAGGACTATTCTTTTGTATTCAGTTTTATTACTCAATGTAATGCGCATACTTAATATTTTGTTACACGTTATAAGGACGAGGCGTGAAAATCAAACACACACACGTGACTCACGGCTATCACATTGCTCTGTACAATCGTGTTTCCTATCAGAATGAGAGTTATAGGTTAGAGAGCATTTAACAAAAGATATAATTTTTCTCTCTCTCTCTCTCTCTCGATCACAATCCTCCGCACGTCGCGTGCGATTGTGTCATATTTTGTAATATACCTACGTCAACGTCGTCCATCACCGATTGCCCAGATGATGCAATATTAAATATCGGATCGACGAGAAACGGGACTATTGAGTAGAATTAAAGTTCTAATCGATCACATCAACAGTATTGTTGGAGAGCTGTACAAGCAGCAGCAGCAGTCGTATTCCGGGACTCGTTACGAGCGGACCACGCGGTTATCCGTCGTTATCGTGTGTTATCACGCACGCTTACACTCGACGCGTTAGTGATACCCGATAGTAGGTACCTGTTGTTGTAGGTGTGATCGTGGTACAGTGCGACTCGTTTGTCGAGTTGTTTTCATCTCTTGAACCGGACACGTTGAACACTATTTCGCGATCTTTGCATATTGCCGTGGGCCACATCGATAGGTAAGCAATCGCATGTCTGTCTGTATGTCATCATTACTGTTATGTGTATTCCGTAACAATACAATATCCGTCGGTTGTTGTAATCGTAATAATTATAACCGCTGTCAAATATTAATAATTTCGTCGATAAGTTAGATAGATTGATAGTCGGGAGAGATAAGTTTTGAACTTTGAACGATATTTAATGAGAACTGACTGGTTACCCGCGTTGAATACACTAATATAATTATACTTAATCGCAAGTGTGGTCGAATCGAATTGTTTTTACCTAAAATCTTTCAATAAAATGCATTTACGTCCGATATTGCGTACCTTGGGTAGTGTTCGACGTCCACATTTCAAAAACAAGTAAGATCATTATTGCTTGTTCATTTTTTATTTTTCTGTAAATATTTTTTTTGTTGAACACATTTTGCATTTTTGTGTGAACTATTTGTATTATATTATATATAATGTATATTTTTTATTTTATTTTTATTTTTATATTTACGTAATTAATATGGTTTTTTTGTTGGTGCATTTCGTATTATAACAATCGATGTCAGGCACTTCAATACTTATCTATGTGCTTGACAACTCGCATCTGGTTTTAATATTATTTTTAATTTTGTTGTAGAGTTTTTGTAAGCATGCTGTATTTTTGAAGGTTAACCAATATTATTTAATCATTTGGTGTGTTTTTTTAATTTTCTTAAGATTTGCAAGTATGTCTACCAGTATAAAAGTGGAGCAAAATGGAGTGGATGCAAAAATATCTGATCCAAATTTAAGTCTACCTCTTGAAGTAGCTGATCCTGAATTGTATGCCTTAGTCAATCAAGAGTCAAACCGTCAAAAAAAAGGACTTGAATTAATTGCATCAGAGAATTTTACTTCAGTATCTGTTTTGCAATGTCTTGGATCATGTTTAACCAACAAATATTCAGAAGGTCTTCCTGGTGCAAGGTAATCAAAGTACATACATATATTTAATTTTATTATTTGACTAATAATTTATTATTTGATAGGTACTATGGAGGTAATCAAGTAATTGACCAGATTGAACTTTTATGCCAAAAAAGATGTCTTGAAACATTTTCTTTGGATCCAAATCTTTGGGGTGTTAATGTTCAGCCATATTCTGGATCACCCGCTAATGTTGAAGCATTCACTGCTCTTATTGGTAGTAGCAGAGGAAGAATTATGGGTAAATCATGTTTTACTGATAGTAACATTATTCTTATTATTTATTGTTAGAACCAAGTTATATAACATTCTTTTATGATGATTAAAAGTTATATTTGCAAATAAATATACAATAAATATATTAATAACAACCTTGGGAAATGTGTGACAAACAGTTTTTATAAATATATAATATATTAATTGTTATTAAAAGTAATACTAATAATTATATATTAATTTTATGCTTTAAAAACTGTGTTGTATAGCAGCTATTATCAATTTTTTTTTTTTAGGCCACCCCCTAAAATTTTAAGTGACCCTTTTATACTGATAGCATTATAAAGTAGTGAGAAATTAATATGATAATGTTTTATAAAATTTTATTGGTAATCCTAGACTTTTATCAATTGTAATTCTCAACAATAATATGATATTTACAAAAATGCCTTGTAAGTTATTTTATATATTGGTGACCCTAAAATGGTTGTTGCTGACCCTCCAGTTTGAGGATAGCTATTGTGTAAAAATATCTGCTAATCTTAAATTCTTATATATTTTTACCATTTTGAACTTTTTTTTAGATAGTACCGTTTTTATTTAATTTTACTTACATATTATACACTTTGTTTTTAATTATGCCAGTTGAAATGGTATACTGAAATTAACATTGAAAACATTGAAATAGAATAATTTAAACTCATTAAACCATGTTATAACCATCAATAGACAGTTAAATATAGAATTAAGATGTAATTCTTATAATTTTACTATAGAAGTTACAAGTATTAGGATTTGGTAAAACTAAAATTAATTGTTGAAAAGTAGTTTTTAAAAGGTTCTACTCTAATTATAAAATAATATAATCATTATAATTATTAATAATTTATTTTTAATAAAAGTAATTTTACTACAATTGCTTAAATTTTAAAATAATGAGAAAAGTTCATTTAAGTATTTTAATTATTTTTTTTAGGATTGGATTTGCCAGATGGTGGTCATATCAGTCATGGTCTAATGGCTCAAAAAAAAAGATTGTCTGCAGCATCAATATTCTTTGAAACTTTACCATACCATGTAAATATGCAAACTGGTTTAATTGATTATGAAGAATTAGAAAAAAGTGCTAAAAACTTTAGACCTGATATCATTATTGCTGGTTAGTTAATATGAAAAACTTAATGTAAAAACGTAATATACTATAAACAAATAATTTTTTAAAGGTGTAACTTCATATCCAAGAACATTGGATTATAAGCGTTTTAAAGAAATAGCTGTAGCTAATGATTCATATCTAATGGCTGATATGTCCCATATTAGTGGTTTAGTTGCTGCTGGTGTTATTCCTTCACCTTTTGAATATGCTGATGTGGTCACATCTACTACCCATAAAACATTGAGAGGTCCTCGTGCTGGAGTAATATTTTATCGTAAAGGTATTTCCTAGTTATTTCTATAAAGTTATTGCTGAAAATTATCATAAATATGTTTTTAATGTAGGAGTAAGGTCGGTATCAAAGTCTGGTGAAAATATCATGTATGACTTAGAAGAACGGGTAAATGCTGCTGTATTTCCAGGATTCCAAGGAGGACCACATAATAATGCCATTGCAGGAATAGCTGCCGCTATGCGTTTGGCTAGTACTCCAGAGTTTAAAAATTACCAAACAAGAGTTTTGAGTAATTGTAAACAATTGGCTGAAACCCTTAAACAACTAGGATATAAAATATCAACAGATGGTACTGATGTACATATGTTATTGGTTGACCTTCGACCAATTAACCTAACTGGATCTAAAGCTGAATTTACATTACAAACTATAGAGATTGCTTGTAATAAAAACACTGGTAATAAATATTAAACTATTTGAAATGCATAATAAAAAAAATGGTTAATAATTAATTTTATAAATATTAGTTCCTGGTGACAAAAGTGCCATGAACCCTTATGGTATTCGTCTGGGCACACCTGCTCTTACTACTAGAGGAATGCAAACACAGGATATTGTTGTAGTTGCTGAATTTATCCACAAAGGTATTTCTACATTTTATTTTGTTTTTTAAGTTTAGTCATGACTTATGCTCATTGTTTTAGGTCTGCAATTGGCTTTAGATGCTCAAAAAGTATCTGGTCCAAAATTAGTGAATTTCAAATCCACTCTTACTAAAGATCCAATTTTTGCTGATCGAGTTCGAATTTTAAAAAAAGAAATAGAAGACTTTGCTGAACAATTTTATATACCAGAGCAATAAATATTTTTGTATTATAAATCAAGTGATAACATTTACAAATAAGTTATTCATTATTGAACTACATATGTTGTATAATTTATGTTTAATGAATGCCAAATTTTTTAAATTTGTTTATACGTTTCTAAATATTTCACCATACATTTATAAGAATTGCCTATAATTTTAATGTTATACTTTTCTTTTAAATAAAAATACATATTACAAAAAAAAAAAAAAATTTTAATATATAATTAATTTTATTTTTATGCGTATTTATACATTTTTTATTTTATTTTAAAATAAAAGTAAATATTTATCATGTTTAAACTTACATAAATATGGTAACATCTATAAAACTGTGATTGAAGAATGTTTAAATTTTGAAGTAATATTCTTATTGTTAGTTATTTTATAAGGTTTTTAAATAATTTAACTTTATTTAACTTTATTGTAAATGTTAATTTTCACATATGTATGATGTATGTGCTACATAAAAAAAAAATATTGGTCTGAAAATTTAATTAATATGTTACAGATAACATGATTGAATTTGCATCAGAATAAATTATTAGTTATAGTTATAATGACTTATATGAATACATATCAGTATTTTCTTATCCTCATGCATCATTATTTTCAGAATAATGATATATTAAATATATATATATATATACACATTTTTTTAACAGGGCTGTGGCACATTAATACCGTTTAAATGCTGTGTAATTATAAATTTAAAACTAAATGTTCTCTTAGTGTTATATAATTTACAATTATTAATCAATAGTATAAAAAATATTAGTCAAAATGAAATTATCTCGATAAAAAAAAAAATTTTATTCATATGCATAAAAATATTATTCTTATTGGTAGTCTAACTAGATTGAAAGATTTGAAACTCAATGAGGCAACAACCAAATTTGGATTTACAATATGCTATAATTTCCACTTATATTTCTTCATCTATAGAATTAATTATCAAAACAGAATTACTTTTTAGAAATTATATTATATAGTTAAAAAATCTGTCTAAATTGGTTCAGTTATTTAAATTATTCTTTAATTTTAAATAATTATTGATTTTATAAAGTATATACCTATACAGAGTACTATTTGTATGTAAATAAACTGAGTGTTGTAAAATTATACTTATTTACTAATTAATCAATTTATTTTTAAGTTGTTATCTTCTCATTTTTAAACCTAACCAATCTGTTAAGTATTTACTAATTAAAAAATATAAGGCTTACTTTTAGATGACTTGTAGATCTAATGGCTTCGTAAAATTGACCAAATGGTGCAAAAATGCAATAGAATTAAATGATATGATATTTTAAGTGAAATCTATATTGTCAAGGAAAATTAATGCATTATGGTATTAAATGAATTGCTATGTGCCATGTACCATTTACTAGTTAGAATAATTTGTTCAATACAATTATAACATTGATGATTTATTGACTCAAAAAAAAAAAAAAAAAAAATTGATAATATCTTTTACTATGAATCTTGTTTTAAATTGAAAGCTTTTTACAATATTTACTTTTCTTTAACCTTACTTCATATTATTTTAGAGTCCAAATAAGGTCCAAAAGCCAAGGTCTTTCAGGTGTCTTTAGTATGGAATATTGTGAGTTTTTTTTGAGAAATTGTTGATAGACACACTTTACACATTTTTAGAGATATATATTAAATGATAGTCATGTTTCTAATTCTAGTTGAAATAAAATGTATTCAGAGGGAAGTAGGTTTGCCACGCTTTTAGTTTGTGTTTTAAATATGTTTTTGCGAATATTACATAAAATACTACTGATAAATGTAGAATAACCAAGGTGACCATATATTTTTCTATTCAAAACGGAACACAAAAAGATTAAAATAATCATTTTGATTGAAAACCATTTTTTAATGTAATAATTACTAACAAAATTATGAACTATTATGGTTTTAAAAGATAAAAAATTAAATTATATTAAAAACAACTATTTTTTTATATAAATATGAGTAAAAGGAAAAGTGTCTAGGTACGTAAAGAAAACGGTCGACGATTATTGTAATACCGAAATAATGAATTTTGAAAAATAATTTTTGTCATCGCTGATCTATGGTATTAAAATATTTTAAGTTAATACGTCTATATTGATACATCATTCGTCGTAATATGTATTTTTATATTTTATTAGTATCTATAGTTATATTCCGATACACCACATAGTTCCGTTCATAGGCGTGCGCAGACTTTATTCGCAGGTTTTGCAATAAGAAATATAGGGCCCCTCACAAATAAATTTTCTAATCTGCCCTTAATTTATTTGCATTTTCTTTTAACGCATATAAGATTCAAGTCACAATCTAAGTTTTTGCATATATACTACTTAGCTTCTTTACTTCCTTAGAATCTAAAATCACACATAGTTTTACAGTAGAATATTAAACAATGCACTGTAGAAATAAGTAGTTTGAAATTTGATTTATATTTATTAAAAAAAAAAATTTATTATTTATTTAAGATCAAGTATGTACTATATTGAATGCTTTTGAATAATTTTAACATATTTATAATGTTGTTATTTTATGGAGAGTACTTAAAATCTAAAGTTCAAGTCTTCTTTTTATCGGCACACATGCTTTGAATTCATCTATTACATCTTCAATATTGATTTCTGATGCCATCTTTTGTTCGATAAATATTAACATCAGTGAATCAAGATGTTCTTGTAACATAGTGTTTCTAAGTTTAGACTTCACAATAGACAATTTGGAAAAGTCCCCCTCACACGAGCAGCTTGTCACAGGTATTGTTGCAAATTGTGTTAAAGCTTTATTGAAGTTTGAAAATATTGTTTTCCGGTCGTTTTCTGATAACCAATTCAGCCATACTAAAATTGTTTTAGTTGATGACCCTCTAATAGAAGTTCTATCAGACATATTTGTAATGAGCTTAATTTCAGACTCAAATGTAGTATTCAAATTAAATTTTTCCTTCAACATTGAAATATCATTACTATCAAGCTTTAATTGATTTAAATTTCCTGTGGCGGTAATTAAATTTAAAGTTTCTTAACTTAATAATAAATATGGGCCCCTCGCATGAAGCCGCAGAGTATGCAGCGGCATACCCTGCATACCCCGTGCGCACGCCTATGGTTCCGTTTTTGTTCAACGTCAACCATACAATAATAAGGTATATATGGTACACGTTACATGCACACATAATAGTTAAATATAACAGAAATAATATCTCATCCACAGATTAAATTTGATTATCGTTATTCTTTATCATTTTCTGAAAACGGGACATTTTAATGTCCTGAAAATTTTCTTGGAACAACGGGACGAAGATACGAAAAACAGGACAGTCCCGTTCAAAACGGGATGTATGGTCACCTTAAGAATAACGCACATTGATTTGATGCACGTATTTGGTGATTCTAATGAGTCCAAATGTTTAATGTACTTTCGATTGCTGAGAACAGATTATGGATAACATTACATTGCGGAACGCGGTCTTGGAAGATATTTTAGAAGACACTGTTATGTAGAACACTGATATTTAAATAGCGCGGGTCACTTACTAAACGTATCGGAAATGATCATGGTATCTGGTAAATCCGGTAGCATATATGCTAAAATGATAAAGAGACATTTGTTGATAAGCTTACGGTTACTCACATTTTTATCATTGGATATTGTTTAGTGGTTTGATATTAGAATTTCAAACGTGGGTTATAGTTGCGAAGCGTTTAAACGGTTATTAAACGTTTAGATCTCAACAATGACAGGATTTGGTTTCGGTGGATCGTCATCCACCACCTTTGGAATGAATCCTCAAACAACTGCCAGTTCTTTCGGTACGTATAATATTTCTTATGTCGTATTTGTTTTTTTAAAAAAAACTAAGTATTCAACATCAAAAATTACTAAAAAAAAAAAAAAAAAACTGCAAAACTAATGTATAGAATTTCTGTTTCAATATTACCTAAGTCAATTCTATTTTGATTAAGTAGTAAATTATATTTAATGCTGTATGAAATTCTTATACTTTCAAACCAATTTTACCATTATATAATTTTTAATTTATTTTCATTTACTCCATATTTTTGTACATTTTATTTATTTATTGTTTAAGATATTTTTAAGCACATCCTAAATAAAACACAATAATCTGTAATTTTATTTTTATAGAAAGTTAATTGAGTAATTGATTTGGTATGTTGTTTAATGTTAGTATGGAATTATTTTTTTTTAACCAGATAACCCATCACCATATTTATTTATGATGTATTCAACAATTCCTCAACTTATAAATCACAAATTATTTACACATTAGAAACACTGAAGTGCTAATAGATAAATAGTAAAATTTTAATATAATATTAATTAATATAGCGATTTTAATATTTATTTGTAATAAAATATTTTGTAGAGAATATTTTTGAAATGACTTATGATCTTTAAATTACTACAAATATCCTTTAATCATTTGAGTTACACCTTTTGGTATATAAAAATAAGTAAAAAATGTAAAACTTTTGCTATTGGATGGCTAAATTATATTTTTAAAGATAAATCAAAACAATGATATGTTCTAAATAGTTTTAAATTTTTAAGGGTTTGGTTCTACAACTACTTCTACTGCTCCATCATTTGGATTTGGATCTTCTACGTCTGGTACTTCAGGTTCATCTTTTGGTTTTGGTGCATCTACAACTAGCACAGCCCCAACGTTTGGATTTGGAGCTACGACTACTGCAGCACCAACTTTTGGATTTGGAGCAACTGCTACACCTTTATCATCACAATCAATTTTTTCTGGTTTAGGTCAAACACAACCAACTACATCAACTGGTAAATACTAATTAAAGTTGATATTTTAAATAAAAATACGGAAAATAAATCAATTATAATTTAATAAAATTGTTGTAGCTCCATTTGGAGGATTTGGATCAGCATTTGGAACGGCTAAACCTTTTGGTACAACAGTCACAACTGCATCACCATTCAGTTTAACTTCATCATTTGCTCAAGGTAAATATTTTATATTTGTATTAATAAGTCTATTATTTTATTTAAAAACTTATTAAAGGCAACACTGCTCTACAACAACAACAACAACAACAACAACAGCAACAACAACAACCTCTTAATGCAAATGATTTAGTTATTAATTCCATTGTTAATTGTAAATTATTTGGAGATGAAAGAGATCAGGTTGTTTGTAAACTCAATTTATTGCAAGCCTGTTGGGGCACAGGAAAAGGTATAGAATATTTTTATATATTTTATCTTATAAATATTAGTTTCACAGATTTTATTATTTAGTTTTGTTTATTATTATTATTATTATTATTTTTAGGTTATTATGGTTTGAATACTCCACCTGTTGATTATACTCCGCAAAATCCACTCTGCCGTTTTAAAGCTATTACATATAGTGTAAAACCAACATCATCAAGTAGAGATGCACTTGTAGCAATAATTATAAATAAAAAAATGGATGATATAAGGTAATTTTAGATCAATAAAACATTTAATTGAAATCTTTTTATTCTACTTCGCCTTTCTCCCAAATATTTGGGGTCCGCCAAAACATTTAATTGAAATAATTATTTAAAAATGTATTAAATAATTAATTATCAAATTAATATGAATTTACTAAATTTATGATTTATTTTATACAATATTAACAAACTTTTCCTAAATTTTAAAATGTAGGTAAAAAGCTTGATGAATTGTTTGTAAAATAAATTTTCTAGTTTTACTGATTGTTACATAATTTATATGTTAAAGATGATATTTGTTTTCTTTTTCATGTTATAAATTGACAGAATTATTTTTAGATTTAAGAAAATCATTGAAATTATTTTTAAAAGTAGAAATTTTTATACCAAACATAATTTGACAATGAAACAATTTATTCATAATAATAAATATTAATACATTTTTATCTGGGAAATTCTGTGGAATTATTAGGTAAATCAAAAATCTAAGTAAGCAATTTGTTGAAATACAATAACCACAACAGTAATAATATTGATACTTAACTCCTGAGATGGATTTAATTTTAATAAACTTTCAAATAATGTTTTTAAATTTATTTATTTTTTTTGTTTTTCAGAAAACAAGAAGTTCAGTTAACATCTAATCTTTTTGCAGTTTTGGGAAGTAAACCTAATTTAAGTATTCATTTAGATACATTAAAATGGTATACTGAAACCAAATCAATGGCTCTAATATATGTCGAAGAGAAACTTCAAAATGGTAAAATTACATTTTGATATAATAAAAACTGAATAATAAATATTTCGTAACAATAGGTAGTACAAAACGAATTTCCAATAGTGATATAGTTAGCTATTTAATACAACCTAATCCTAAACAACAGTTGTCAACTATGGGCGTGGAAAATATATTTCCATATACTGGTTTTACTGAAGAAAATTTACGAGAATATTTTGAAAATCCACCGGCTGGTATAAATTTTTTTAATTTTTGATATCTTAAGTTTTATTATTTGTTACATAAAAGTATGTACATTTATTATGTAATATGAACAAACTATTTGGTTTTAATACTTTTAAATTGTATTTTATAGGAATAGATTTAAGAGTATGGAAACAAGCTCAAGTTGATAACCCCAATCCAACAGTGTTCATACCAGTGCCAATTGTTGGATTTTCAGAATTATGCTGGAAATACAAATGTCATAATGAACAGGTATCGGTACACAAGTTAACTCTTAACAGTATTGCTGATAGATTGACTGAACTAGCTAGAAAAAAAACTAGAGTAGAATCTAAGCTTGAACAATACACTGACAAAATGGATCAGTTAACACACAGAATTGTTAAAGTATTAGTTGGTCAGATGGTTATTTTAAATGCCGGAATGGCTCTCAGACCTGAGGAAGAAACAATAAAAAACCAATTAGAAGTTTTATACAACGATATTAATTCACCATTACGATTCCAAGTATATAAAATTGAAATTATTTATTTAAAATTGATTTTATTACTATACATTTATACTATAATTTTTTTAATCAAGGGAAAGCTTACAGAAATTGCTACTCTTGTTCGATTAAAAAATTCAGAATTATCAGAAGACTTGAAAGGTAATTCAGGTTATATCCCTCAAGTGACTGAAGAAATTAAACATGTGAGTAAAAATATACTTAACATATCAATAGTACCAACCTTTTAAAGCATTTATTTTGGCTTATTAGTTTTTAGAACTTCAACAAACAATGATTTCTGAAATGCAAACAGTGGTTAAAGAAGATTTCAATGCTATACATTTAATGAAAGAGTCATTAAAAAATGTTAGATAGTTTTTGGAATTATCCATGATCAAACAATAATTAATTATATGAATAATTGTAATTTAAAGGAAAAAAACATTTTATGACTTATTATTTTCTTCATAAAAATGTTTTGTATATTAAATATGATATTAAAAAAAGAAAAAAAATAGAGGTGCATATCTTAATTCTTTAATTAATTAATTACTATTCCATTTAAATGTGAAGTGAAGAAAATAATAATTTATTTTATGTGTTTTAAATTTAAATTTATAAATATTTTTATTTGTGAGTAGAATGTTTTACATAACCCAAGTAAATTTGTAGAAAACATTCACATTTCTTTCAGTTATTAAAATAAGTCATTTTATTATAGTATTAAAGTTTGATCACATTAAATGCATTCAATTGTCATTATTGAAGATGGTCAAAACTTGTTTCAATATTCTATTAAAAAATTAATAATTTTGTCCTTCAAAGCAATAATGTAAATTTTTAATAATTACTTTTATCAATGTGTACAAGTACCAATAAAAACTTAAATTTGTAAGTTTTACTTATTTTTTATTTAACTTTTATATATTCTTTCTATTTATAGAAATGATTAAAGGCAATTTAATTTTTGTATTATTAATATGTATGTTATAACTGATTAAAATCACTTAAATTAATATAAATTAATTTAATATAATATTGCATCATATTTACTAAGATATTAGAAAAATTAATTTGTTTTGTTTTACATTGCAATATATTTATAGAACATTAATTTACAAACCTGTAATAATGAAGAAATAATAATAACTATACTTATCAGTCAACATTGGCTAAAAAAAAAAACGGGGAGATTATTTATAATTGAAAATATTGATTGGTATGTGACTTGACCACCAGTGATATCATTTTGTTGTACATGGAAGGGCAGTGATGTTTGTCGGTGGACGAGAAAACGAAATAGTGATTAGAATGCCAAGTGAAATGTGTATGAAGTGTGGTTAGAAAGGACAAAACGAGGAGTACGAAATATATTTAAATGGCGTTATAATTTAGCAATGTCATAGTTTGCAAATAAAACCAAATCATTGTTTGCGATGATCCGGGTATGCTATAGTTACATGTTATGATGATAGAGGTACCGAAGCCATAATCATAATAAGAGTTGTTACTTTTTGACGTGAACGGTGGTGGAACGAAGGAAAGAAAGAGTAAAACTGAAGGTAAGTTATGGTGGGATGTATAATTGGAAATTGCAAGAGGACCAGCCGCAAGTATTTATATGCGAGGAGATGTAGAAGATCCGAGACATCGAGACATTTGACGGTGACGGACTTGGACGGTCGACTTCTAATTGTTGGTAGAGAAGGCGGTTAGGAATAATGGTTGTTCGTAATCTAGGTACCTACTGTGGATTATCACTGGCAGACATTGATTGTTGGCTGTTAGATCGGTATCACACAGTGTAAAAGTCAATGTTCGAATTCGAAAAATAACACTTCAGTTGTGCTGGTGACGAATGAAACATTAATTTAACCCGATTTTAATTGTTCATTTTGAATTTGGTGGAGTTATATAAGCATGCATACCTATCGCACACATGTGATTTGCACCTATTGTACACGTCGATCTCAGGTTAGATTTGTTTTTAAAATACGATTGTTCAAGTATAATACAAGTATAAAAAGGATTTGGTTATGTAAGATTGTTATGCGAATGAAAATAAGGAAATACGCATTTTTTCCTTCAAATATGCAAAAATATGTATTTCATTTTTTTAAAAATAGTTAAATACAAGCAAGGCGGGATTGGACATATTCGGCCCACCGAGTTTTCTGTATGTTACTGGCCCACTTACTAACTGGCGGCCCTTATCCAAATTTTTTTAATCGCATATTTCAATAGGTGCACTAATCTTCAACTTTAAACTATTAATATTTTCTGTTAGCGACCTTTCATAACTTAATAGGCCGAAAATTGTCGCGGCCCACCGAGTTTTGCTCGGTAACTCGCCGGGCTAATCCGGCCCTGAATACAAGTAGGTATATATTAATAGTAAAAAAATATATATATATATATATTTATTGAAATAAAACAGTGATTGGCTGATTGTCTTGGTATAATATAATTGAGATTAAAAATTAATAATTATTTATATATAATTCGCATTCATATTTATTAATTATTGTACATCGTTAAATTCGTGTGTTGCATGATACGACCATAAAAACTAAAACATAAAAACATAAAAACCGAAAACTAGCCTCAACACGCGTCAATTTAAAGTTTCATCCGTTTAACGCTCGGATATTCGAAGTGTGTTTAACAAATTTATTTTTTATAATCTTACTGTAAATAATTTACCTTACAATAATCTTAATTATAATCACATATATATATTATTAAATTTAGTAGGTATGTACATTGTACATACATCTTATGCATATATCGGTAATTCAAAGTTTTTTATAAGTTCATCCAAGCTCGAATTATCAAGAGGTGATTGTAATATATGTTTAATAAATTATTATTTTAGTATACATTCTCATTTTGGTTTTTTTGGTTTTTGCCTTATTTTACGCAAAAGTTGTTATTTCAAAGTAGATAAATATAGACACACAACAATTATGTAAAAAATAATTAAAGATACCTACTTATAATTTTTTTTCACTTTTACATAATATTTTTTGATACATTAACATTTCAAGTGCGTATTTAAGCGCTTTTATGAATGTTATAAAGTGCATATCATTTACCTTTTATTTATGGTAGAGCTGAATAAGTTAAGTGCCCTAGTTATTATATTATTTATAAGCATGCGTGTTCAAATGTGAAGTGATCGAATGCATCAACACAATTTGCTGTAACAATTTAAAATTCATCCAGTAACCGCGTGGGCACGGAATTGCATAAAATACGACTGAAAAATGTTTACAATAAGTTTAATTTCGTTTAAACCCTTTGAGTCCTTGGAAAAACAGAAAAAAAAAATACCTATAGCATTAATTGTCTTTTCTTCCGTTCAGTCTGTGCACGGGTGCACCTACACCTATTCCGTACACGTAAAATGTAAGTGCAATATTATTGTGCTGTGTTGAAACACGTAGTGCTGACGCAACAGTATAACATTCTAAGGATGCACAATTCTCTTTTAAAGACAAGAGTCCGACCACTCCGTTACGGCTTCAGCCCGACGCATAAAACATAATGTTCTGCAATTTCATGTAACGCAATGCGAGTTTCAAGAATTTTTCACGTAAAAATTCTACAACGAGGATCACGAACGTAGGTGGCGAGTATCCATTACGGTGCAGTGCGACAGATAGATTTACATCACATAATCGTCTATGACATACCTATACATTTTGTCGATTTTTTGTACTACGCCGACGAATGTCTGTGTATAGTAATTTTAATAATTCGTACAGTGATGGCAGTGTGGAAGGGGTGTAAAAACCAGGGACGTAGCTAGTAGGTAGGCCCGGGCTTACTCAGATTTTTTCTAGAAAAAAACCAATAATATTTAGAAAGGGAAATGAGTGGACAATTTATGGATAACCCATCAGCTGTTATTGACGAGTTTGCTGTCAAGAAGATTAGAATTTTTACTTTGAGAATAAATTAAAAATGCGTATATTAATTAATATTTATAATTGTATTTCATAAAACTCTCACATTTAGGTACTTAAATAAAAGTTGCATCTTTTGAAACTATCTATTTATTTTTTTGTTCAATTTATTTTAAGTTATTTATTATTCAATTATTTATAAGAATTGACAATTAAATAAGAGCCATTGACAACTTTGAAATTATGGTAGGCTAATAAAAAAAATCGGAAAAATTCCCATTTCCGTCGGTGAGTAGAAGTTTTATAGTGGGCCTACCCAAAAAAAATATCCTAGCTACGCCCCTGGTAAAAACTAATAGAATAAAAATTTAAACACGCACTTTTTCGATTCCTTTTGGTATTAAAAACAATAATTGTTTACGTAAATAGGTAGCCAAAAAAAAAAAATTTGTTGGACTGACAATGACGTCGACCGCAACGCGTACCTTTCAACGAGTGATTTTGTAGACAACTGATACTCATACATCATAGTATAGGGCATACGTCACCAATTAATATTTTTGGAGTGCCACATTGATAGTTTTTAAAACTTTCGTGGTTATCAAAATTCAAAACAAATATTTTTAACATATTAAAATGCAATATAATTTTTAGCAAATTATGTATATATATGGAGTCTCATAATGACGTTGAATATTAAAAACAATAAAAAATATCTACGTCTGGTAGTAAATCAAACAAACTAACAAGGTCCAAGAGGTCCGGTAAATAAAACAATATAATTCCGTTTACTCAGGCAAAAACTATCTGTTTTCAAATTTAACTGTTCTTTTTTTCTTGTCCAAAAATATAAAAACAAAAATAAGACTTGATAAATGTTAGATATATTATTATTATTGTATGATAACATATTCTATATTATGTAATTACTATATACGAGTAGTAAATACTCTTATTTCACAGGTATATAATACTTGCAGTTTAATTATGATTTTTTTGTGAGTGGATGAATATCCATAAATATGGTTTCTCTCAAGGATGGACTGGCAGAGCGGGTAGGTGACCATATTCACTCTGGCCCTCCAGATATTTTATGTTTGGGCGTCAAGCTATAATTGTTCGTGTAACGTTAGTCGTTTGTTTGCTAGTTTGTAAAACTTAAACCCACCCGGGCCATCGGGATTAGAAATGTGTATTTCATATATAAACAATTCCAAAAATACGGATTCAGGGGGGCTTTGCCCCTTTGTCACCCCCAAAATACGCTCATGGAATGTACCCGTGCAGGGCAGTATTAGCGCATAGGCACTACAGGCAATGTACCTAGGGCCTACGAAAATGTGTGGCTACAATTTTTTCGTAGTATATAAATTGGTATAAAAAAAATTATTTTTTTATGGTTTTTGACAATTTATATTATATATGTTTTGGAATAAAATAAATTTTTTTTAACATTTGTTAAAACTTATCATATAAACATTTATAATAGTTATCATATAATGTTTAGATTTGATTTTTATGTTGTAA